AATGAAGAGTGCGCCACCCACAAAAAATACTCAATTAAAATTCATTCAGGGGTGTGAGAAAACATTAAAGTTCCAGTGGAAAATGGGTCAAAATTACTATTCAAGAAGGAAATATGAACAACTAATGAAAAAAACATATTAAGTGTTTAGATACACACCTCACTAAAGAAATTGTGTGGTACTGTGTTATTTTCTAAATAAAAGTAGAGAAGTGCCTAAAAAACAAACAAAAAAACAAGACACACAGAAAAGGATCATTTTGTAACATAATTTAAGAATGTATGTTTTAAAACAGTTTGAATGAAAACCCTCTGCATGGAGCGAAAATCCTACTTGTAGAAGGAATAAGTTATCAAACCAACAAATATTTCAAAGTTCAGCATGGGATATATTCCTGACTTTTTTTTATTAAGGAGATCAAGAGGGCCCCCAAAACACAGAGTATTGATATTATTCTCAACTTCCTACCATAACGAAATAGTAAAACTCTATTGCTGAAGGAGGCATATGCTTTAGTTTCAGAAGAGAGATACATAAATGAAGGTGGAACTCAGCTGGAAGCATCCTTCCTGGGCCATAGGTTTCATATTGCTTGAAGTGCTAGTCAGTCTTCTAGGGGAGAAAATAATTATCTTACCTTCCTGTGATGCCTGTCATTTACAACATCTACTTGACAGGCATGTCATGCCCGTTGATGAAGTAATGTCATTAGTGTTATTGGGGTTAACTAACTGCTTTCCCATTCGTCTTGAGCCCCACCCCTGGAAATAAAATAATAGCTGGGAAGATCGTAGGTCCTGGGAGAATCCACTACTGTTATTTAGTTAAACGGACATTCTGTCAAGCTATTTTCTAAATATTTGCATTTATGTGAGTGGATTTTTGTTAACACAGTCTTGGTTGGAGAGACTTTTTTTGTAGTTGGCAATGATTAGTCCACAGAATCATCTGTGAATAAATAGGTGAGTAAAGAGGACTGTTGAGTGTTCAGTCTAAAATTGAGCCCAGAGTTGAAGGATATATCACAGAAAAAAAAGTATGAGCCCCAGGATGGGAAGAAGTGTAGAGAAATGAATTTTTTCTGGATATAACATGTAATTACCTGGACCTATCAACATTTCTTTGTGGATGAAGTGAGGTCTCTCCCATTCTACAGGAACTGTTGCTATTTTATGTATTCTGGGAGAGGAGGAGTCATATTCTCCACTGATACAGATATGGTGAAGTTTCATTTTTTAATGTTCTTTTTTTTAATTAATAAAAATTTTCTATTCATTTTACATACCAATCAAAGATCCCCCTCTTCCTTCCTCCCCCACAGCCTCCCCCTTAAAACCCACCCCCAACTTCTCCCCACAAGAAGGCAAGAGCTCCCATGGGGAGGCACATCCAGTAGAGGCAAGTCCAAGCTCCTCCCCCTGCCTCAAGGCTGTGTGAGGTGTCTCACCATAGGTAGCGGGCTCCAAAAAGCCTGCTCATGCCCCAGGGATGGATTCTGATCCTACCGCCAGGGGGCCCCCCAAGCCGATCAGGCTACAAAACTTTCTTGCCATGCAGTAAAAATGGCAATCTTACAAAAGCCATTTACACATTCAATGCAATCCCCATCAAAATCCCAACACAATTCTTCCCAGATGTGAAAAGAACAATACTCAACTTCATTTGGAAAAACAGAAAACCCAGGATAGCTAAAATAATCCTGTACAATAAAGCTACTTCTGGAGGCATCACCATCCCTGATCTCAAGCTCTACTATAGAGCTACAGCAATAAAAACAGTTTGGTATTGGCATGAAAACCGACACGTGAACTAATGGAATCGAAATGAAGACACTGTGAAGTTTCTTATGCTCTAAAAAAAAACCCCTCCCACCAATGATCATTCTTTAATCTCTAATTTAAGTCAGAAAATCACAGGAAAAGAGCCTGAGAGTAGGAAGGGGTTTTGTTGGGAAGAAGAATTGTTCTTGAAGGGAGAGAAGGCAGTGAGAAGTGACTATGATTAGAGTATATTATACTTATAAGTCCACATGAAATTGTCAAAGAATAAAAAACCTAAACAGCAGAAAATTACTTTCATTTGTATATTCATTAAGTATTCACACAGACATTTTATTTTACTTATCATTTTATTGTAATTTTTTACTTAAATTTTTTTTATTTCCTTTTACATACCAACCCCTGTTATCCCTCCATCCTCTTCTCCCGCTCCTCCTACCTACCCCCATCCCATCACCATCCCCTCCTCATAGAGGGTAAGGTCTTCCTTGGGTAGTCAATGCAGGCTGGCATACCAAGTTGGGGCCGGACCTAGTCCCCTCTCCCCCACATCAAGGCTGAGTAAGGCATGGCATCCTAGGGAATGGACTCTAAAAAGCCAGTTCATGTACCCAGGATAAGTCCTGGTCCTATTGCCATGGGACCCACAAACACATCAATCCAGGCAACTTTCACCCACATTCAGAGGGCCTAGTTGGGTCCCATGCAGGCTCCCCAGCTGTCAGTCCAGAGTCCATTAGCTCCCCTTAGCTTGGGTCAGCTATTTTTGTGGTTTTTCCCATCATGATTCTGACCCCCTTGCTCTTACAAATCCTTCCTCTCTCTCTTCAACTGAATTTCAGGATTTTGGCCAAGTGCTTGTCTGTGGATCTCTGCATCTGCTTCTATCAGTCACTGGATGTAGGTTCTGTGATGACAATTAGGATAGACACCAATCTGAGTGCAGGAAAGGCTAGGTCAAGCACCCTCTCCACCATTGCTATGAGTCTTAATATACTTTTTTTTTGTTTGGTGCTTTATTTGTTTTGTAGATGCTAGGGATCCAAAGCTGGGTCCTCATTCCTGAACGACAAGCCCTTTACCCATTGAATTCTATCCAAAATCTTCTCCTTGGATTTTTATAAAAATTTGTAAGCAATAGATTGAAATCTGTGCCATTTGTACCTTGAGCTTCTGATCCATCGGTTTCTACTTCTTCCGTTGAAATTAGTTCATTTTTCATCTTATAGTCTCTCTCTTAACTTTTTCTCAAAGGGATTAGTATCTCACGAGGATGGGGATTTTTAATGAACAGTTTTATTAATTCTTTGAGAATCTCATACAAGGGCACCTATACCTAACAATGCAGAAGGGTCAAGTATCTTAGACTAGATAGGTCATGGGCCTTGGGAAAACATAATAATATAATGATATTACGAGATTTCTTAAAAGAGATTTTTGTGTGAATGTTTGTTGTGCATTTGGATTTGTGACTTACCACATTTGTATAACTTTATCCACATGTAGTGCATTCTCAAGTAATGTTACATTAGCTAACATCACATTTTATTTCTTCTTTGTTTTCACCTTCTGTGTTCAATATATTTTGATAGTGCTTTTTACTGCAGAACCTTGATAAAAATGCTTACATTGAAACATTAGATATATTTACTTAAGAATGAAAAATAACCTTAAATAATACTTTAAGTAGTAGATGATTATATGCAATGGATAGTGATATTTAACCAAGGAGAGATTTGGGGAAGGAAGAAAGAAAATCTTCCTAAAAGAAATCATGGAGTAGTTGATGGTCAATAATTTCATCATACAGGGTCATTTTGCCATGGTCTTTTTAACTCTTTGCATATTTTTTATGGTTTAATACAAACCACTTCAGCATTCTACAAAATTACAAAGATAATTATTTCTCTTATTTTTAGTATTATACTCATATAATTTCCTTCTGTCCTTTCCTTCCTCCAAATTCTTTCAACTATCTCTATTAGCTCTCTTTCAAATTTATGGTATCCTTTTCGTTAATTGGTGTTTATTAGATTTATGGCCATAGTTTCTGACTATACTCATAAAGTATTAACATAAGATTACACAAACACGAGGGCAACAAGGACAACCATAGACATACCAAAGTGATATGTCTAATGGGAAAAGCCCATACAGTCTCAACTCTACACAAAAACTATAAGCAACTAAGGAATGTTGAGAGTGGAAGAAATAGTCTTCCTCAGAGAAGACTACACCAATTAGTTATCCAGTGTCAAATGATTAGCCCTGAAAATATACTGTGAATAACATTTATACAAACTGAACAGTTTATATTTAGAAGTATGCATGTGTACACATAATCCTCTTTAATTACTCTTTGCATTCTCTTCTGATAAAACTTCATGGGTTTTAAAATGTCAAGGTTTTCTTTATCTCAATGCCTAGCTATCTAATTGTTAATCCCTACCTCTAGGTATGTAAACATTTCTTTTTATCATCTCCCCAACACACACAACTTAGGTCTGGTACTTGTATCTCTAACCAGAAAAACCTTGCTCTTGCACATTGCTTTTAAGCATTGGCATTAAATAGTAGTGTACATTTCACTTATTTCAGGAGATGAGGCAGATTGTAAAACATTCGAATGTATATTTTAAGGGTGTAACTTCAGTAGTAAATGAAATTCACCAGGAAATAAACTATTGCATTTACCATAAAATATAGGGTATAAAATATGGGAAAATAATGTCAATAAATATTTATAACTTAGTGTAATGAACACAAATGAAATAATAACAGAATAAAATAGGTATAATAGAAGTGACTGGGAAAATTTTACAGTTAAGAAAACATATGTTAATATGACATATATAATAATCATAAAGTTGAGCCAGGTGGTTTTAGTGAATGCCTTTAATCCCAACACTCAGGTAGCAAAGGCAGGTGTATCTCTGAGTTCAAGGCCAGACTGGTCTACAGAATGAATTCCAGGACAGCCAGGACTATACAATGAAATCCTGTTCCAAACAAACAAACAAACAATAAAACAAAACAAAACAAATAGCAGCCCCAAAATTACACACTTAAAGATACACTATACCTAAATGCAATAATATATTAGCACCAACATAACATTTAAAGTAAAAGCAAAATAAAAATATTTTTATGTGTCATCGTTATAATTATCCAGAAAGAACAATCACTTTTAAATAAGTGAACATGTACACGTGATGAATTTGCTTAGAACCAAGTTTTTGTTGTCAGTTTTTGCAGGGCCTCTTTAACATCCTTGTTCCTCAGGCTGTAAATGAGGGGGTTCAACATGGGAATCACTAGGGTGTAAAACAGTGAGGTCATTTTGTCTTGATCTAGAGAATAAGAAGAGCTTGGACGGAAATACATGAATAACATTGTTCCTTGAAAAATTGCAACTGCTGTTAAATGGGAGGTACATGTGGAGAAAGCTTTGAACCTTCCCTTAGTAGAGCGGATCTTCAGGACTGATAAAATAATGTAACAGTAAGAGACAAGGACTCCTGATATTGTGCTCAGTTCAATGAAACCAAAAACAGTAAATAAGGCCAATTCATTAACTTGTATGTCAGAGCAGGATAGGAGGTAGAGTGGAGGTAAATCACAGAAGAAATGGTTGATCTCATTGGACCCACAGAAACACAAGTGAAATGTCAGTGTTGTGTGTATCACAGCATCTACAATACCCACCAAGTAAACCACAGCCAGGAGTTGGTAGCACACCTTGCTGGACATATCTACTGCATATAACAAGGGGTTGCTGATTGCCTTGTATCGATCAAATGCCATCATTGCCAGCAGCATACACTCCACATCTGTAAAGACGCAGAAGATGAAGAACTGCAGAACACACCCAAGGAAAGAAATTGAATTGCTGCTCTTGGCAAGTAGGTCCACTAACATCTTAGGACAAACTGCAGTGGAATAGCAGACATCAGAGAATGAGAGGTGACTGAGGAAGAAGTACATTGGCATGTGAAGCTGGTGGTCCATTCTGATCAAAATAATCATTCCAAGATTTTCAATAAGAGTAATGAGATAAATAAATAAAAATATGATAAATAAAATCACTTTGATCACAGGGTTATTGGTAATACCCAAGAAAAGGAACTCAGTGACTGAGCAGTTCCCAATCTCCATTCTTCTTTTCTTTAAAAACTGTTTCCAAATGATCAAGACAATTATTGATTAGATATTGTTTTTTGCATGTTTGAATATTATTATGTGGTATAACAATATTTATTTCTAGAGTTGTTTATCCTCAAAACATAGCCTAGGCTACATAAAAGAGGCATTATTTTAAAATATGTCTAATTTAAGTGGACCCACTTTGTTTACAATATATACAGTTCAACAAACTCATTTACCTTGACCAGTTATCCACTATTATAGCATTATTGAACCATACGTTAGGTCCAGATTCAAAATAATATAAAAGAAATGCCAACGTAAGCCAGAAAAACTAGAAGATGAAAGAGAAAATAATTTATTGTTTCACAAAAAAATCAATTTATTGGCTTACTCAGGAAATATTAATTTTAGTACTATTGGTGGTATTGCATATAAATTAATGAATAAAAATTATTCTGATAATGTTTAGCATCAATGTTGTTCTGAAGTCAAATGAGTTTTAGTTATATTTATCACATGATGTTACTGTTTTGTAATGAATTTTATAATCCTACCATAAAATTCATCTAATTCTGAAATATGGATCCCTCAAAAATGAAAATAGTCAAAAAGTGTAAGAGGGGCTTGGAATATATGACAGAGGGTGAAACACTTGACAAAGAAGTGTGAATACTAGAGTTAAGCCATCACTCCTTCAGGTATGTGCGCATGCAAACATTTAATACCAGCACTATGTAGGAAAAGAAGGATTGCCTAGAGCAAGAAGGCCAGTTTTTCTAAAGGAAATAGTGAGCTCTGTTTAATATAGAATTAAACATTATTTTAATTGCATATGAAAATGCCATTCAACTCTGATTAACATGCAGTGGAAGACGTCAATCTCTCTCTCCTGTACACACATCCACATGCACTTATAAACACTCCTTTACTGATATTATAAGAATATACATGATCACACACATATATGCAAAGTAAGAAAGAGACCAACGTATTAGTATATACTGTGGAGTGTCATTAGGCTTAAGTTTGAGGTTTTCACATAAAATGATGATGGGTAGACATAAGGAATATTTCTGGGATATAACAGATGCAACTTCTTAAATTGTTTTTATTTATGTATGGATATTAGAGTTTATCTCTCTGTGTGTTTGTTGTTTAGGAATTGGAATGTGGTGATAGCTAATGCTTACTTTTTTCTAGAGTTAAATGTAGTATATTGTCCAGGAGGCCTGAATTAATATACTTTAATATTTTTGTGTTAACTATTGAATGAAACAAGTCTGATTGAAGGTTACATGTGCTACATCACTTTTTTAAGTGATTTTTTTAAAAAAAATTACCTAAGAATCCTAGATAAAAGATGAATAGGTAAAACTTCCACAGACTTTAAACACACACACACACACACACACACACACACGATGTCATACAAATTCACACAATTTTAAAAAGAAAATATTCAATAAAATATTCAAATATCTTTGTATTTTAGGTTAATAATTGCATTTAACTGAGCAAGCCTGCAAGAAATTAACTTTCACATTATTTAATAATGATTTCTTTATTTTTCAAATGAAAGCTATCTGTGTTTTTCTCTATTATTTAAATATAGCCATTAAAAAAACATACCTGAAATGTTTCTGTCGTCATCAATGGTATTTGAATTTGTGTAGATGGCTTTTATTTTCATGCAGTGACTGTTGGGATTTCAATCTGATAAGACTCCTCCATCAGTGTTTAATTGGATTTCTGGTTGGGAATTTCCCCCTAAGAATACTGCAGCAAGCTTAGCAAAAGTTCAAATTTTACTTATTTACCTTTGTGAACTGACTTAATTAGCATCATTGCTACACCTATCTCAGGTCAAAAAAGGAAAGATAGATACTCTCCAGGTACAAACACAAAACAGCTCATTTTCCAACCTTTTTTAATTTTTCAATTGGCTCTCCAGGTAGTAAAATAATAATTCATAGAGACAGAATGCAACCCATATATAAATAATTTATATTTTATCTTGTTTTATGTAAAATAAACTTGAAGTAGTCTTTTATTTGTGTGTGGACAAATAGGCCATCTAATTTTATTCTTTTATTTAGTCATTTCAGAAGTAAGAATGAAGAAAGAGTTAAGACACAAAAGTATAGTTACATCATTAACTCTGCTTACATAGTCTGTTATAATTGTGTTAGGATAATATCATAGCCAGTCACTGATAGACATGAAAGAATGACATATTTTTGAGAAGTAGTGAGGAGTGCATGAAAATATATAAGTAGACAGGAACTTTGATGTATTCACAAGTCTATCTCCTTTAGCTTATACTTCAGTCATAAATACTCTAAAGTAGTTCCACACAATGGAATGTCAAAATGTTTGAATTCAGAGATATTATGCTAACAATCAGATCAGCTTGTGGTGATTAGGGTTGATATTTTTATTGCTCATTTATTTCACAGTCAATTCACTTAAAAATCGGGGCCACCTGAAACTCAAACTGGTTTTTAAATGCTACAGTAGAAAGACAGGTCAATTACATGGAAATTTGTAAATGTTAAGCTTTTCTTTACATTTCAACATATTTCAACAATATCTTCTGCCATGTTGTTGATTTAATATTCAGGGTTGTACATCTAAAGTAAGAAATATTGGTCACATTATATTGAGCAATAGCAGTCATAAATTTAGAAGTCTTGCAGTCCAGCCGTTGCCAGAATCACTTATATTTGGATCCTAATATCCTATTCAGAGGGCTGGGTTTTCACTATGTTCATACAGTAGAAAAGCTGGGAAGAGGCCAGTTATGTTTTATGTGGGAAAGTCCTACTTTCTAGGGGTTCTACACTTATGAATTAATTGCATCTCAAGGACTTCAACTTCTAAAAACATCATTTCGAAGGTTAGAATTTCAAGGTATAAGGAAGCAAGCCATGGTCATATTCATATATTAAAATTTGGAAAGATTAATGGTTGAGAAAATATTAAGGAGGTAGAAAATCAAAAAGCTGTTTATACAAAGGAAGACTCTTTTATAACTACTTTTTTTCCCCTGGCATCTTGTTCCCATGTTCTATACTGAAAACAAGAAGCGTTTATTACTATAGTGAAATGTTACAAGACATATCTCACACTGACAGGTTAAAAACTCTGAGGCAGTCTATGACATTTATTTTATTTAATCGCTGTGCAATTAACAATGTTCTGTGTCTTGGACCTTTAAAATATGATGTGTTTTTTCCCAAAAACGTACTTAGGCTACCCAAAACTTTGAACAAATTAAGATGAAAAGTAATATGCAAATACATACTTTTTCCGTATAGCCAGAATAATATCTTTAGTATGTATTCAGCACTTCAGTGTCCATAGAAATTTCATATATTATCCTAGAAGAAATCATCTGTACATTTTTGTGTGTATGCATGTTTCATAATACATCCCCCAATAGTTTTACCAACACCTAATACACACTAAAAATACTGTGTTATCTAGTATCTCGTTTTGTTACATTTGCCACATTCTTTACCCAAAATATGATGTTACAGCTGTGAAGAGCAGGAATAAAATGCTTAGACCTACATTAAAAAATGCTTAATATCACAATTTGGAGATTTTTACACAAGAAAAGAATATTATTACATAAGAGCATAAGGTGCAAGATAAAGAAAATCTCTCACCAGGGATGCATATACAGAGGAAAGAAAGGGAATGTTTCCTCAAAGAAGTAATACATAATTAAAAAGAAATTTCATCATACAGAAAAGAGATGCACATTGATGAAGGGGAGCTATATCTCACACAGAGTAAAGGGATGCAAGGCTGATGAAGGGAAGTTTCATCTTATACAGAGAAGGGATGCACAGGTGATGAAGGGAAGCTCCATCACACAGAAAGAAGGGATGCATAGTTGATGAGAAGTTCCATCTCACACAGAGAAGATCCGGATGAAATGTTGGTGAGAGAAGCTGAAAGTTCAGTCACACAGGACCATTCCAAGCTCTCAAGAGCTTTTATACAAGGGACATTGATCTCTTTTTCAAGTGTTAATGATGACCAGATAATAAGTTGCAGTTATTTATATGTAAAAATTTCTGCTTCCCAAAATCTCTTCATGCTGATGCTGTATGAAGTGCAATGGCTTTTCCCTGTGAGTATCATTGATGGTTGAATCCCTGCTACTGCTTTTTACATCACAATCAGGTAAGACTTCTGTGGTTTCCAAATGCCGTGGACTTGTTTGCCTCAGTTCTTATCTAGTTGTCAGACCTTCAGTCTATATGTGTTCACCTGTTCCCTATGTATAGTTTTATTTTTCCAATCAATAAAACCATTCTCCTGTACACTGATTTTAAGTACTTTCCTCTAGGTCATTCTTTCTTAATCTATGGTTTGCAACTATTATGGCAAACCCTTATCTATAAAAATATTGACATTATAATTTATAACAGTAGCAAAATTACAGTTATTAAGTAGAAAAAAAATTTGCGCTTGGGGAATCACCACAACTTGAGGAAATGTATCAAAGGCTGCAGCATTAGAAAGGTTGGGAACTATTGCTCTAGATAATAGCCTATACATTACTTACTTCAAGATTATTTTGAAGTGTATTATGAAAATTTGGAGTTCAATTAAAATTTGTTACATTTAATAAAATATATATTTATTAGGAAATAAATTATTTAATTTGCCTTGAAACATGAGTCAAATAATAGGCAAAGTGAAATTAGTAAATGGTCATTAAACAGTTCAATCAAAACTAATAAATTATGTCACGTTCAAATGAAATCACAGGGATACCTGCTCTTTTATTAAAGGGAAACAGAGAGCTGGGCGGTGGTGGCGCATGCCTTTAATCCCAGCACTTGGGAGGCAGAGGCAGGCGGATCTCTGTGAGTTTGAGGCCAGCCTGAGCTACAGAGTGAGTTCCAGGAAAGGAGCAAAGCTACACAGAGAAACCCTGTCTCGAAAAACCAAAAAAAAAAAAAAAAAAAAAAAAAAAAGGGAAACAGAGAAGCGTATCTGGGAGATAC